ACAGACAAGGTCTAAGCAGTATGCTCCTATCTGATTTAAACGGTTCCAAATGGAGCGTAAAACGTTCGTGATTATTTTGAGGCTCTATTAGGAACGATAATAATACAGAATGTTTCAAAGGTCTCCTGTAGAAAAAAGAATTTCCAAATAAACGTCTATCTCAAGGGTCAACAAACTATGGCTTGCAGGGCGAGTCCGGCCCCAGAGGACTGTTCGTCTGGCCCGAAGCCAGACCCACATGTGGGAAATAAATTGGAATATGGATGCGTTTGTAGAGTGCTTAGGACTTGTTACCAATATCATGTCTACATCGTCATTAAACTCTGCGGAGCAAATTAAACGTGCTTTTAAAGACTTCCTAATTTCAAAGCAATTCTCTTGGTTGGATTCAACAATCACAAAGCAAACGTGGATGCTATCTGGAATCGCAAATCACGTCACTGTCCCCCCCCCCCCCCCCCCATCTTTTTTCAGGAAGGAGGGGGGGGGGGGGGGGGTGGAGTGGAGTTGGGGGTGTTTTTAATTTAATAATTTTTTTTTTGGGGGGGGGGGGTCTTTAATGTATTTTTTTATTTTCGCTGTTTGGTTTGTGGTATTCAAATTGTGCTCTCACCATGTGTAATATAGCTCTTATTACAATAGTATGTGTCACAACGCGCTGTGGAATCAAGAGCTCGTAATTTTTAAATTTTTTAAAAATATATGGAGTTATTGCGTTTGCCATAAAAAGAATATCCATTTATCTTGAATAGAATACCCGGTCGCTGGGTTTAGGAACAAAAATTAGCGAGAAAGTGGCCGTAAAGGTTGGTGATTTCCATAGCTTAAGAGTCCTTGAAAACTGCAAATACTTATTATTTTGTGCCTTTAATCAACGTTTTTTCAATAAAATCCACACATTAAAGTGTTTTTGAATTGACATACAAGGTGTTGAGCCAAAAAAACAAATATTCCAACAAAAAAAATCCAAACTGGCCGAAAAAAGCCGATTTCTCGGATTTCATTATTTTGACGAGCGCTTGATTTCACCACGATGCCTCACAAATAATTTAATTGGATAGCCTTTTTGGTAAATATATTGTGTTGTCTGTCTTTATATTGCGTGTATATTGTATTTTGTGTTTTTGTGTCTTAATTGTTCATGCATTTAGTGCGTTATTTGGAACAAATCCCGTTCGGGCTCAACATTTTCCGTCTTTCATCCCACTTTGAACTAAACGCCTGATGACATGCTACCTCTTCTATATGTGTCTAGGATTTATCTCTTAAAAACAAAAATATTTCTGGTGAGCAAATATCAAAAGTACAAATTGGACTACAAAAAAAAAAAAAAAGAAAAAAAAAAGAAACATTCAAACGTAATTTGCTCAGTCAGGTGAATATGGTCGTAATAATTATCGGCCCGTGTGCGCGTAATGGAATGTACAAAAATTTGCTTTTAACAAATTTTTATTTTCAAAATATCGTTATAAGGAGGCAATTATTGTTTTTAATATTTTCATTCTTAACACAACCTGCGACAATATCTACATGAGATTCTATACTCCAAAGTTATCTACCATCTTTGCTGAAAAGTATATTATTATTAAATATCATCATGGAATAGTCATCTTATCGACATAAGACATTATTGTGTCCGATTAAAATGGCAATGTTACGATCGGAATATTAATTTTCTTGATCTCCAATATGATCTGTGTTGACCCAGTTTGTTAACAGAGTTGATTTATAAACACAATTCATGACGTTATAATGAGTTCCATGGTACTAGACTGACACGCTGATTCCCCTTTTGTCAGCCGTCATAGATCTCGCAGAATTAATTGTGCACTCAGAAATCCGGGTCGTTTTTCCTAAGTCCAGTTTCCTCAAATCGGGATCAACCTTTTTGTACTATTAGCAGTCAAACCAGTTCGTTCACTTTTGATTTTTTTCCGATCTGGAATCAACTAACACCCCCATGAGTTATTTGGTCTAAGCCAAACCCTAATCCAGGTGGGAAACACAAAAGATTCACCCTCATCTAGATGTTGTCATAGTCATGTGGCAAATTAAAGGGTAAACTATTTTGAGGATCAAATGAGCTTAAATCTTCTAGTTTCGTTTGACAGTGAGTAAGAAAACCTTTCTAACAGATTTTATTTCAGATCTTTAAGTGAGATTAGTGCGGGGTAGTGTTACTAAAACATGGCGTCGGGATAAAGGGAGCAGAGTGAAAGCTTGATCTAGTCAAATAAAGCGTCATCTCTTTTTTTTAAACCGTATTTGTTTCAAGTCAGATAGGGTTACTGGGCCGGGGATTATTGGCTCATTCCTGTTGCCTTTGATTACATATAAATGAACTTTAGGAATTTTGAAATGTGTAACACAGTAGCCAGCATTTAAAAAATATAACCATGTTAATACAATGAATTGTTTTTCCGCGGTTTATTTTATAACTCATGTTGTTTAGATATTTGAAGGGATGTCAAAATATACTTGTGTGTACATGCGATAACTTTTGTAAAGAGGTATCTGTATGTACAGCTATGATACATTATACTCTTTCTTCTTGTCTTCCACTTCCAACTCTTATATCATTATGGTAATAAGGAAACTTTCGAAAGCAAAGCTACTAAAATCGCTGCCTATGAGGTCGGTGCCTTTCTGATCAGTGACCAGAACGGCTAGAATACGAGAATGAAAGAGCACTTTTAGTGAACTTTGTAACCCTTTAGTACCTGCCCTTCTTCCCATCCACATTCACTGCCCCCCCCCCTTCCGCCCTTCCTCCTTTCCCCATGCTCTCCTTTAACAAGGGTAGATTTTCAGATATGCCTGGTGTAAAGCGCCCCGCAGGTCAGAATCCAGTGTGGCCCTGCCGCAAAATCCCCATTTGCAGGGTGTTTGCTGGTCCAGGGTTCTTAGCTGCAGCCACAAGCTTCAGTTTGTGATAGTTCGGAAAAGTTATGAATTCCAAATTTTAATAAAATGTTACTTTTGTAGTGTCTAAACATTTCCCCACAATAAAAGATTGACACAGAAAGAGATAGACACACCGACAGAGAAGAGGGGGAGATCATTACACAGAGAACAAGAAAAAGAAAGAAAGAAAGAAGGAAAGACAGAGCTAGAGAGAGAGAGAGAGAGAGAGAGAGAGAGAGAGAGAGAGAGAGAGAGAGAGGGAGACGACAGACAGAAACAGAGAGAGATTAATTTGGGAGGGAGGGGGGTTTCGTTGGTTTGTGGTCATTTGAAACACGCTGCAACAACTGGTTCCATCTAGATACGTCAATTACAATTATTATTTTGAAGTAGGACGCTTTACATTCATTAACGTATACGGATACTATCATGTTGGAAGCCGTTAAAGATGCATCAAACAGTTCTTTCATTTAGTATAAATCCCAAAGCTGTTGCAAATATTCAAATCAGCATAGTAAAAATTAATCTTTGCAGAGTGTTTCTCCACTGAATCTGGACTAACCCCATACCCCACCCCACCCCCTTTCCCAATTAATAGCACATTCGATTATCTGCTAGTCTTCTTTAAGATATTACAGCCTGCTGTTTGGATCTCTCCTGGGAACCCTAGCTTAGTGAACACCCTGTGTTGTGAGGTTTCACGGCTCACTCCACTGGTGTGTCTGAATAGGTTCTCTTTGAGATGTCTGGTCAGACAGACAGATGCGAGATGAAGACTCGTTTGAAAACCTTCTGATGTTAGCTCCTTTCACAAGTTTCTGTTTATCGCTTTCGCCTTGTAGGTGGTCGTTTTCTGAAGGGTGATTGAAAGTAAAAAGCATTTAAGTAGACATGTTAATGTGAACAAAATATTAAACATTTGTGATTCATCATGGTGAAATCAGGCGCTCGT